AATACATGTTTTCCTATTAAATAAGTTTCAGTAAAAATAAACTGTTTATAAGGGGTGTTGCAAAATAACTCACTTTTTTCCCGAGAGCATAACAAAGTAAAATAAAATTTTAATTCAATCAAAAAAGTATTAATCCAAGTATTAATATCGCTTTACTGGGCCCCCATTGTTCTCATGCACGAGTTTTAATCGATTTTCAAAATATTTCAGTAATGTAACAAACATGTCTATTTTTGTGACTGTTTCTGTGAGCACGTTAGTGAGAACACGAATCAAGGTTTCACATTTGTATCTCTAGCATTCAGGCAACGTTTCCAACATTTCTTCTGTGCATTGTTGAACGAAAGCGCTGATATTTTCGGCGGGATTTAAATCTGGAGAGGACCACTCTTTCAAATTCAACAATTCTGAAACTTTTGAGGCATTAATCGGATTTTTTCAAATCTGGCATTGCGATGTGTCAATTGGAAGACTTGAATTCTTGGAGCATGTCTGCGACTAGTTTCTAAGCCATTCTGAAGGCACAAATCTGAGTTCTAGTGAGCATCATGATTCAAAAGTTTTCGCAATAAATGAAATTCGAAGAGTCAAACACCCAAGAGTACGTTGAAATGACGTTTTCTCACGAGTGATGACATTCGCGGTCCTACCAGAGTTCGTCATTACTTCGGGGATGTTGGATTTTCCAGTTTCACGTTTTCTATTTTCAATATGTATATAGTAACAACTAATATACACGCAGATAAATATCGTAATGAAAAAAAAGTTTCCTTTTCTCACCACAATGTAATACATTAACTTGTAAATTGCACAATTCAGCAATGTAATTCTTACTATCTCTCTATCCCCCCTTTTCAGTGGTAACTTTACGGAATTGCAACAATTGATTTATCGCATTGGACGGATTGAAGATAGGCGATGGTGTAACTTTGTGCTAAAACAAAAAGAATCAAACTCTACCTTTTTATGATCTTTGTTTAAAAAATATACATTAACCATTAGATTCAGTGTGATAATCGACAACTATTTTTTTGATCTTCACTTGTATATCTGTTTGCTTGTTTTGAATTTCGCGCAAAGCTACACGAGGGCTATCTGCACCAGCCGTCCCTAATTTAGCAGTGTAAGACTAGAGGGAAGGCAGCTAGTCATCACCTCCCACCGCCAACTCTTGGACTACTCTTTTACCAACGAATAGTGGGATTGACCGTCACATTATAACGCCCCCACGGCTGAAAGAGCGAGCATGTTTGGTGTGACGGGGATTCGAACCCGCGACCCTCAGATTGCGAGTCGAGTGCCCTAACCACCTGACCACGCTGGGCCATACTGATATATGTATAAACATTATAAGGACATTTTATGTTTTTAAATGTTATTGATTATTTAGGATTATTAACTACGTGAATTATTTGGAATCCTTGTCGATCCCTACTATTAAGTACTACCGTACTTAATAATATATTTAAAAATTTCATCAATTTATCATTTTGTTTATAGCCTATTAATGTGTTCACAAAATTTACGTTTCAAATCTTATCGTTTAAAATAATCGCTAAAAATTTGAATGCTAAATGAATAGTCTAATATGTTGTAATTTTGTTGTGTTTTGAATGTTAAAATGTCCTCCGGTGGAGCAGCAGTAAGTTTACAGACTTACAGTGCTAAAACCCGGAGTTCGATTCTCCGAGGCGGACACAGCAGATAGCTCAATGTGGCTTTGTCCTAAAACAAATATAAAAATAGAATTCCGGTGCACTTAAGATAAAATATAGAAGGCGCAAAAGGTGTCATTCCCTACGATGGCTAAAAGATAAGTTTTAGGGCTTATAATTTTAAAATCCGGGTTTCGACAATCGCGGTGGACAGACCACAGATATCCATTGTGTAGCTTTGTGCTTAACAATAAACAATAAAAAATGACATTTTACGTCGTATAAATAAAGTTTTAATAGCTTTTTCTCACAATTATGATAATTTAACTTAAGTCCTGTCCAACATTTGACGTTAGAAAGGAACGGAGATTAAAGTAGAGAAAAGCAAGTGCAGAAATAATTAGTAATTAATTGCTTTTCTTTTTTCTATTTTGATTTCCATTGAAAATTCAATACATTATCTAAAATATGTAATATTTGATGTTTTATTTTTATGTATCATAATTCGGATACCCATAAACTTGCGCCGTTTATAGAGCAACTCGTTGTTTCGAACAAAATTACTAAAGTAATGAAATATTTATATCTTGAGGAATCCTTTAATGTCTGGTTGAATTTTTGTAAAGGAAATTACAACATATATGAAAGTGTTTGATGCTACTGCAAGCCTAATTCAATGTTTTATTATCTTATTTTTATGAAGGTGGACCTTGAAAGAAAGTATTTCCTCAAAAACACCAAGCTTAATGTTTTATTGTTGTCTATAGAGCTAACATTAATTTTCCTTTATAACACTTCTATAGCTCTAGGCATTTCATACTTATGTAAGCTGAGTGTTTACTATTAAAGTAAACTTATTATTTTACTCCGACACAATAGCTTTTTACTTGATGTTTTCTTAGAACTGTACTAGTTAGTAGTTCTAAGCCTGAACAAACAAAACCATCCCTGTTTCCTTATTGGTGTACTCTAAGAAGAAAGAAAGAGAAACACATATTGTTTTAATTCGTATGTTTATAGCAAGCATAAAGTTATATGTTTTCAGAAACCTTTTTTCTTTTCTTAAAAGCATATTTGTTCCGAGAAATTTTTAAAAAATGATTTTATTATCCAATATGTAATTCTGAAAAGAAAAAGTGGTGATTGTTGATGTTTGTGTTTCAAACAACAGTATTTACAGAAACTTCTTTGTATTCTTATATTTGCGCAAAGCTACTCAAAGACAATCTTTTGTTCCTAATTTTGAACTAATAAACTAGAAGAGAGGCAGCCAGACAACAGCACCCACAGTCAACTCTTGGTTTACTCTTTTCTGATCTAATAGTGCGTTTTGACTGTCAATTTCATAGTACACCTCGACTCCAAAGTGTAAGGCGAGACTTTTTTTTGGTAACCCTTTTGATCCATAGTTCGATACGCTAATCAGTAGATCGCTCTCGTCCATTTGCAGAAGGTAAAACTAGTAATAGCTAAACTAAAACTCCATAATCACTAAGACTGAGTGTTAATTACGTTTAGTTTACATACTCCATAAGAGTCTTTCTGTACTTATAACTCAAATTTATTACGAAACTCTTAAAGATTCTTGAAGAAAGAATCGAAAATCGTATTATATTGTACTTAACCGTTAATTACCAATTAACATACGAAATGAACTAAAATATTATATTTTATGTAACTTTACCCGTTTAGTGTTTCCGAACAGAAATTGAACCCTTGTTTAATTCTTCCGCTGTAATCCATTACAATACTAGAGAACAAGATAGCTTCACTTGATAAATTTTTTTTTAAATTTTAGCATTTAACCAAACAAAAAAAATGTGGTCATGATTTCTGATGCACTTTTGAATGTGTATTTTCCTACATATTTATATACACTATTCAGTTTCTCAGTGTAATTTATTAGACCACTGAAAGTCTGTTGTTTATGTTGTTTTATTTCCTTTTGTTTACATTCCAGTTCTGGGATCTTTTTTTTTCTTCTATACTCTTGCATCATCATCATATTTTTTCAGAGTATATTCAGTTTTTAAATATATCTTACCAGGTTACTATTATTTAGTTTATTACTTATCTTCTTATGTTTAATCTCAGACTTCTTTTGTCTCATTATTTTATCGCATTTTTTAAACTTTTACACCATTATTCCATGGCAGACTATTATAAATGAAACGATGTTAACATTTATTAACGAAACTAAATTATCAAAAACTTTACTTTCAAATAATCTGCTTTATTACACCCATCATTTCGTTGAATTTTCACTTGTGCAATAGCTAACATGTTTCAATAGAAATAATCGTGAGTAACACACAGCATCTGCACATATTGATAATAATGGGTCTCGTCATTTCCTTGTTGAAATGTACGTATTGTCGTGCTACTTTTTTAATTCTATTTCTGTATCGTAAGACGTTTCAAGTTGCAGTATGCCTACGTTATTCAATTGATATCTCATTTGTTATGAAGCAAGAGGTAATCATACAGAATTATAGATTAATTTCATATTGTATAAATTAAACTTAATAAGATATCTTTTCAATCTATAGTAAAAAAGAAACTTATACGAATTCATATCAAGATAAAATCATGCAAACGAAATAATGTTTGATTTTTAAAAGATTTAATAAATCTATGGTCGGAGTTACGAAAACGAAGGTTGGGAAACGAACTTAATTTTTTTTTCATTCCATAACGTTATAAGGCTTTCTGTTTAAACAACGAATACTGTATCTACGACAGAGATTATATTGTATATAGTGAACTGTATAACGTTATAAGGCTTGATACAGTATTCGTTGTTTAAACAGACACGACAGAGATTATATTGTATATAGTGAACTGTATAACGTTATAAGGCTTGGTACAGTATTCGTTGTTTAAACAGACACGACAGAGATTATATTGTATATAGTGAACTGTATAACGTTATAAGGCTTGATACAGTATTCATTGTTTAAACAGACACGACAGAGATTATATTGTATATAGTGAACTATATAACGTTATAAGGCTTGATACAGTATTCGTTGTTTAAACAGACACGACAGAGATTATATTGTATATAGTGAACTGTACAATTATTTTGCAAATCATTAATAACCTCCCCACGCAAAAAAGCAATGTTTTTGTAATCAGAACTAGACTCTTATTTACTATATTAAAATCTATATTGGAAATTTATAATGGTTTTTCCTGTTTTAGTTAACTGTAAAACCATTTTTCCTTTTCACTAATTTTTTGCAGCTCCAGCTATAACGTAAATAATGATCAGTAGCACATGCAATCAAACATAGAGCGAAGATAACGTTGTATTACTTTATCTTATTTTACTTTCCTTTACAGTGACCTGTTTGACTAGTAGTGTACTTACACTTACGGCAATTTCTTGTGATCGTTTCGTCGCTATCCTTTTTCCGTTTCGAGCCCGAATTACTAAGCAACGGACAGGAGTTGTTATAACAGTAATATGGTTGGTCGCTTTGGCAGTAGCCACTCCGTTTTTAGTGTATAGGGAATACTTTCAGATTCAGGTAAGAACTCAGCTCATTGTGACACTGAATGAAATCTCGTTTTAATGTGAAAAGCTAAAGGATAAGATGCGACATGAAAAAGCACTTATAATTTTCGAAATTGTGATCCTTGCGTTAAAAAATGTACTTAGGGCCATAAATTATATTTTCTTAAATGAAGTTATAAAAATAAATGTTATATACGTATAGGTACTTTCCTTTTTATTTAAGTTTTTCTTTAGTATTTTTTTCAACGCAATAGCTCTGGTCACATCCTAATGATACATTTTTCTACAGCTACAAAATACTACCTATATATAATGTAACAATAAAATCCACATTGTAAGTGAAACACATTTTCTGTTTCTCTTTCATTAGAGTAAGTTTTCGAAATACACTGTACGAAATAAATAAAATATTACTCTTGAATTTATAACACTCTAACCATAAAAAGACAAAAAAAAACTACTGACGTAAATATCACAATCACTCATTTTACGTTCGTGTAAGAATGTACTCACAAAAAGTAATTTGTCATGATTCTTGAAATGTAAGTTGACAATTCATTTCAGTGTGAAATGCGGTTTAGGAACGATGTTTAGTATCAGTGTGTTGATAAGAACCTTTGATTAAAATAGCTGTGTTTTTCAGAAGATTTTATATATCTTGAGTTACGTAGCAGGATGCGACGTGACTCCTAAGCACCCCCTCATACATATGCAATGAAAATGGAATCCAGTAAACATGCAAGCCACTGCTGTCGCTAAATTCTTACTTTTTCAAATATTATTTCGTTCAGTTAAATACAGAGGAGACTCATAATATCATTCATTAAGCTAAAGTCACGGCAAGTTGCACCAGCATATGGCAGAAAGGTTGTACCATTCGTCGCTATATTCATCAGTGATTATTCTTGTTCAGACATCTGCCATATACGTTATGTTCCTGTATAGAGATGGGAATTGGATCAGAATCTAGATGATCTATAAGTGAGTATACGCCTAGCTATAGGGGGAAGCGTGACTCAGTATTACTAAAATGTATGTTGCTGTATATCATTGGCCCAATGGATGTGTTCTCGAAAGTACTGCACGCGAACTGTTTCGCTTGGAAAGGAATGTATCTCATTTTGTGAGATTATTATATACACACATAGCGCAGATAAATGGCCAATCATTTGAATTTCAAATCATGTGTTGGGTCATCGAATGCTTGAGTTACATATGATAGGTGATTGGTATTATGTTATCAGAGTCGTTTTGACCTGTTATAACCAAAATATTAATAATTCCGATTATTCTTTATTTATTTGTGCGGTTTACTTTGATATATATATATATATATAAGATTTTAGTAGAAGCACGTGTATTATCAATTTCATAACTGTTTGACTTTACAAATATACAAATCAAGGAGTGGTAAACAGTTCCATTAGTTTCCAACTATACGGCAGTTACTAAGTAATGCTTACCACTAATTTAAGCTTGTTTGAAATTCAGTGAGTTTTGTGAAATTTTATTCCTTATATATTTAAATAAAACACGTAATAAGTTTATTAATTTTTTAAAGAAAAAAATTCTGACAGTTGCTTGTGCTGAAAATAGGTATAATTATCAATAACCATATTAAACCAACATACAACCATACATTTAGATACTACTAATCTGTGATCAAAACAGAACAACTACCCACACATCCACTATCTTCTCATAGCGCCTGGTTGAAGAGGAGATGTATCTAGGAAAAGCCCCGCCAGCCTCTTGGCTAGAAAGAAATTTCACATACACTCACATGCAGAACAAATCCCTGGAAAGTTTTTTTTCTACAAGTATATTCAAGTTTCAATTCATTGTTATATCCTGTTATTTCCTTTGAGATAACAAAGAAGTAACGCGGACTCTTTAGAAGATAAATAAGTGATCGAGAAAGATGAGTTATAATTTCTATGATATTTTGAAACGTCTTTGGCCTAACACCATTAAGAAATTTGGATTAGTAAAACACAAATTCTGTATCTAAACTGCGAGTTGTTTGCGTTTTAGTTAAAAAGTAATAAAATATTGTAGATTGATTATTTCCAAAATGTATTTTTTTTGTATTTTATTTCTTATCAATAAGTTAATTTTTTCTTCTGTAGTGGAAGGACTTTTCTCAGGCGCATTGCGACGAAAGTTGGCCCCCTTCCATGGATTACGATGAAAGTCTCCAGAAGTGTGTAACAACCTACCCTTCGAAGCAGTTGTATTACACCTTTGTTGCAGTAATTCTGTTTTTCCTCCCTGTAGCCATTATGACAACTGCCTATTTCCTGATTATCTGGAGGCTCTGGGTATCTGAAGTACCCGGCGAAAGAAACCCAGTCAATGTCGAAGTACAGCACCGATCTAAAAAAAGGGTACAAGCTTTTAAAATGAAATAAATAGTAGCGTACAGGAGAAATACAGGCATAATACCAGAGACAAAGCAAATAATACAGATAGAGTTGGGAAGTCTTTTAAAGATATTTCATTGTTTTACAGAAATTTATTTATTTCTTTACCAACAATGTAATATACTGAATAAAAATGTGATGCTGAAGTTAGAACGTTTCCAAGTCTTTCATTTGAATACACTCTTTATTATAAGAAAGAAAAGCAGTGGAATGAATTATCCCTTTGAAGTTTACCTTTATCTAATAATTAACAAATACAATCGTAATGTATAAATATTGAACCAGCTTCCAGAAGCAAAGCAATTAGATTAGGTTATTCTTATGAAAACTTGCTACCTTAGCGAAACTTTGATATGACATGCTTAATAAATTATTATTAAGCTTAACATATTACATTTCTTTTTCATTTGTATAAAATATTTTATTACCTTTTTCACCTGTAGTTCTACTTTTCTAATATACATAGCTAACACATAAGGGAATTAGTAAACTATACACAAACAATTTTGGGAAACAACAAGTACGCAAAATATTTACACACGTTGTTTTGAACGAGAATTTACATGTTCTATAGAATTTGCGGGTAAATCTGTGTAACCAGTGTAGGACGCAATTGAAACGTTTACAAAATTTAAACCATAATTTTATCTTTAAGTTTATTTGTCTCTCTGTGTCAGGCATGATTTAACGGTTAGCAAACTAGATGGAGGGTTGGACGAACTGAGGTTCGAACTGCAATATGTTATTGAACACACTTTGCACTTTCAGATTTGGAGCTTTAAAACCACGACAACCAAAGATTTTATTTGATTAAGAGTAGCTGTGTATCTCTCCCTCTGGGCAACAATTCTAGGTTGGAGATGGCTATGTTTGTACCTTGGAGCTTCTGACTTAACCATTTAGCCATACAGTGCTACTCTAGTTGAAAATAACAATTATCCACTTTTCATGTGCAGACAAAAGCCACCTAAACCCCACGGAGCCTCCATTTTGGAGCCCCCAAATGTGAAGATTTCCAAAGTCTAAACTTAGATTATTCTTTAGATTGCTTAACGCGTTCCCGTTATTTTTCTTGTAAACCCGAGGACCCATCCCTGAGTGCCCCCAAAACCACTCTGACTACCAGAATGAGGTTTTCATTTTAACATTTCTCAAAATCTGAATTTAAATTATTATTTTTGAATGACTTCTTGCCTATTAATACCAAACTCTAAGTAAATATGTTCAGTCAAACCTCTTTTGAGTTTTTCATTCGTTTATATTCTGTTCTTGTCAAAAACATGTGAACAGAAATTCAAGTCACTTTTTCAAAAATTGAGGGAGTAATTCAAATATCAAGTAACACAGGTTAAAAGATATAAAAACTTTATTAATTTAAACACTATAAAATATTTGTGAAACCATTTCTGAAATAAACATTAATTTAAATTGTGACATTATCAAATTATTTATATTACCGAAATTAATATCTTTAATAAACTAGCTTTATATATAGTGAATTTTGAACTATTCAGGATTCTTTTTGAAACTATTAATCAGATTTCGAACAATCTATATTTCCTAGATCGTAGGTTATTAGTTTAAGCAACATATCTTAAATGGCAGGTTGGACAGACTATAATACAGTTATACTTTTTATAATTCCTTAATATTGAATAAGTTCAACAACTAAGCCTAAGCATAGCCTAAACTATAAAACTGACGTCTTCAGTCTTTACTTTTGCCCCCCAGTGGCACAGCAGTATGTCTGCGGACTTATATCGCTAGAAACCGGTTTTTGATACCCGTTGTGGGTAGAACACAGATAGCCATTTTTATAGCTTTGGGCTTAAATACAAAATAAATGTTACTTTTTAAAATACCACGTATGATATTTGCATTAAATAACACAAAAGTTTACTTAAATCCTTAGTTGCTGAAAGACACAATCAAAATAATATCATTAGTAACTATTTTTATGATAGAAAAACTGTTTATAGTAAAGTTCTAGTTTTTAGTTTATTAACTCTGGGACCTAAATACTGACAACGGATGGTATATTAGAAGATGTGTTTTTAACTGGACCTGTTAAATGAACGCAATAGGTTGCGTTGACAACAATATTCTCTTGAAAATTTCTTTTTAAACGAAATAAGTTTAATGTTCATAAAATACAAGTTAGTTCCAGCATCATTGTATCTTCTTTGAACTTGCTTGTCATTATATTTCGTTTTTTTTTAGGTCATCAAACTGGTTTGTATAGTGCTGATAGCTTTCGTCGCTTGTTGGCTACCTCTACAAGTTATCATCCTGTATTCTCAGTTCGTACACTCAAGTACTGAAATTGGAGAGGTAAGAAACATAAAAACAAGTTAATTTACTTTAAAAACAAACATAGTTTTTTCGCTTAATCATAATGACAAACTATGGCTAAAAATAGTGAGGTAATGTTTAAAAATGTTAAAGAGTCTGAAAAGGCTAACTAGTGCAATTAGTTTGAACTTAGTGTATAAAGATGTTGAAAATAAGTATTTTCATTCAAATAATCAGTTTGAACATGTAGACAATGTGAGGGGCTCGTGATCTAGTAAAAGTATAACACAATTAATATCTCAACAGAGAATATTTTTGTATGAATTTCTAGCAAACAGAATAAAATGGTTTATAGGCTACATCATAGAGTGAAGTAACTTTGTATTTATGGTATATTTAACACAGTTTTGTTTTGTTCTAAATTAGGCACATCCAATAGAATTTTATATTGTTCTCCATTAAGCAAATCGTATTCTTAGAAATTAGCGTTGTTTTATAAGCTTCTGGTTGAATATTGTACATCATATGTTTTAAAGGAATTATTTGCCTATGTAACGGTTGATGCATGCATGTTTGAAACATCGTAATAATGGTATTCAGCAAATTGTTCGAATCGACAAAATGGTCATACTGACAACGTTGTAATTAGCATTTCTATAGGGGAAACATTTCTTTATATAAATATCATACATACTTATTGATGAGTATGGAATGAAATGAGTCGGATCGCTATTATTCTAAAAAAAAACTATATTATTTTAAATTAGGATTAATTTGGTCATTCCTGAATCATTATTATCATCATCTAAGTGTGATATTACCTAATCATAAACAAAAAATATAAAACATTTGCACCTCTTTTGGTGATTATACTAAAGTAAAATCAATAAGCCTAATTAGCCAATTATATTCCATTTTTATTAAATCATGTTTCTCTGTAGTTCTCAGATAGCTTGAAAAAAACGTTTATTAGAATAATTATTAACAATAAAGAATCATTGAAACAAACAAGATTGCAGAAAAACTGCCTCAACTGTTGGGATACTTAGTAAACCTCAAAATGAATCTTATTTAATTACTCTTGCTTTAGAAAACTAAATAATTTGTGAAGAGTCTTGAAAATATTTAAGACTAACATATACGTTAAAGAAAACTGAAAAGAGGTCAAATCGTCCATAGTGTTTTATTTCGGCTTTCCTTGTGGTTGAATATTAGGTTATATTGTTTAAAAAAGTATAGCAATATGTTTTGTTTACAAACTACACAAAAATCTTTGGAAAAATATCCTTAATTTAGTAGTTCCGAGAATTTCACAAATGCGGTGATTAGAATCATACAAATGTTACAACGGTTGGATGCATCGGGCTTACATTTGGAAAAATAATGTTTACCATTCGATAAATTTCATTTGCAATTCAACTCAAGATTGTTCTTAAAATACATTTTTATATATTACCAATTATACACGAGGAAGTATCTTTAATTTTGACATTTAAGATAAAATATATACTGTAACTTATTCCAATAATTATCTCCCATTCAAGCATCAATTAATAAAGACTGTTCAGTATACATCTTTTTTTTTCTCTTCAAATTTCTGTTCTTAAAAAAAAGTGAGAAAAGGCAAATATTTTGTTTCTTTTACAGCTTCCGGAATGGTTTTCTGCGGTTTCTTACTACGCCAATTTCTTTGCCTACTTCAATAGTGCTCTAAATCCAATAATATATGGAGGTTTCAACAGTAACTTCCGGAAAAGTTTTTATGTGGTGGTGAAGTGTGGATATCAGGACTCACATTCTCATAGATGCCAGCAACCGATTTCAGGTTATTGTTATTAATATTGCTTCTGGTACAATGTATATACTAATAAATAGCTCATGCTCCAAGATTAGATTAATCACAAAATAAGAACCTCAATATAGCCACAGCACTTTCAGCAAGTATATCATTCTTCTTCAGGAGGGAATTTCTAATTCAACCCTATAGAAGAAAGGTCTATCTTCTGAAATTGCTAGGGTTATCGTGCATCTTTTTTTGTATCATGCATAAAAGTGATGATGCATGCTTACTATCATTGAGATGCCGAGTACACATTTAAAAAAGCAGTTTTTAATAATATGATAACGTTCATTTCTTTCAACAGTTCTTTGGGTAAATATTAGTATCCAGTGAGACCTATGTTCTCATTTGGCGTGGATCTTTTTCTATACACTTTGTAGAACAGAACCTCAGTGAGATGAAAAAGTCTTAATATTTTGTTCTCCGCTTTTCTAGATAATATGTTCTGTTTATATTTCTTTTTTTATTCTCAGACTACGAATTTTATAACGTTTATCCAGTTCAGTAAAGGTACTAAAGATAGAGAATACATCTGAAATTCAATGTTTTATCTCTTTAGTCAGGGTCTGGTAGTTAGGGCGCTCTACTAGCAACCTGAAGGTCGCAGGTTCAAATTCCCGTCACCGAACAATCTCGCTTTTTTAGTCGTAGGGGCGTTATAATGTGACTGTCAATCCCACATGTCGTTGGTAAAAGAGCAACTCAACATTTGGCGGTGGGTGGTATTGACTAATTACTTTCCCTCTAATCTATCACTTCTAAATTAGGGATGGCTAGAGCAGATAGCCCTCGTGTAGCTTTGTGCAAAATTCAAACCAAATAAACAATCTTTAATAAGGCTTCTGGCTACTCACTTCCAACCAAATATAATTAAGTGGTCCATTAAAATGAGTCCATTACTATGACAAAACGTTATTCTATTAGTTTGTTTTGTTTTTCCATAATATAATAACTAATATCCAGAAAAAAGATTTTAATGTCGCGTGCTCTTCGGTACATAATTCAGAGAAACATAAAAAAGGTTAAGTACTTTTGCGTATTTTTGTAGCAGTTGCTTTTTTTTTAATCCGTAACAAACAACATAATTGAAAACTCTGAATAGAACTACCACACCATCCGTACTCACTTTTCCAATATTTAAGCAAAACATATGTATCGTATTTCTTTCATGTTTATCTGTTGGCCAATGGTGGTTAGGGTACTCAACTTACAATAAGAAGATCGTGGATTCGAATCCCCGTCCCACCAAACATGTTAGCCATTTTAGCCATAGGGCGTTATAATGTGACGGTGAATCTCACTATTCGTTAGTAAAAAGTAGCCCAAAAGTTGTTAAATTAGGAATGGCTAGCGCAGATAGCCCTTGTGTAACTATGTGCGAAATTCAGAACAAACAAAATTGTACGTGTGTTTTATTACAGCAAAGCCACATCGGGCTATCTGCTGTGTCTACCGAAGGGAATCGAAACCCTGATTTCAGCGTTGTAACTCCGAAGACTTACCGTTGTCCCATCTAGAGACAACAAAACTATCAAACTATATTAGAGATGATCAGTGGTTTAGTCATAAAAAAAATATTTAAATAGTTTTAATTATTAAGTATGGTAGTACCTGTATCAGGATCGGTAATTTTCAGATTCTGTCTTATCTGAGGATGAGATAAGATAACCCTGACGGACTCTGGACTCCAATAAATCGTTTATTTGATATCGGCATTTGGTGCTTCTGAGGTTAATGTCTGGTTTCTTCCACTAGTCATCCGGTAAAGGACATGAGGAGCACTGAGTGCCAGTCTCCTCGGTTCACTATTCAGACCACACCACAATTTTGCAGCATGACCTTCAACTGTCGGACTTCCTCTTCTCTACTCGATCATATCTGAACAGATCGAAATACTGGTGTCTTCTGCAGTTCCTAATAAACTAAGTCTCGTTTCAGTAGTCTCAGATGGTAGATGGAGAGTGAAGATCTGGAACGCTTTCCAAATTGCTGGCGAACACTCAACTCTGGTAAAGGATTTCTCCTAGTTCATCGAGGGTCCTCTGATAAATATTCTTCAGATAAGGCTGATTCCCTTTCCTTTCCACTGTTAGTCCTGACAGAAAGCAAGGCATCTCTTGGATTATATCTCACAAATATCACAAGAGAAAAATTACTTAGAAGATTTGAAAATAGAAACAACTAACCATTTCCCCAGTAATTAAATGCTCGTCACGGTTCCAAAATTTTAACTGGGTTCGTTTGTAATGTGGTGATCTCAAAATTAAACCTAGCATACAGCTACTAGATTTCCAAGAACGAGGAGTATTCAGGGCCTACTATTTGGAAAGATAAATATGGTAATTTTCAAGGGTGAATAAGGGGCAAATTGAACTATTACGTTGTGATATAGAACAAAATATAAGAAAAACTCAAATTAACATCATCAGGGATTAGACAGGAAACAAAAGAAGGCAAGACAGAACTTCACAGCAAGTCCTGACTCTCCCATATGGGAATCTTTTCTCCTTCAATATCAAAGAGAATCTTCTCTCAAAGTGCAAAATATTCCTTAAGAAAGCACATTCACTATGCAATCGATCAATCAGAAGACATATTAAATCTCTTGAAACAACAGATAAATTACCCGACTAGTCCTGCCAAAGAAAGTAATCTCTAAGATTTATTTTTGCACACGCACAACTAGACCTGGGATTAATACTTACAAAACTGAAAATGTTTGTAGCATTGAAAATTTCAGTATGTAAAAGTAGTTAACGTGTAGCCAATTCTCAGTATCTGCATGTTACAGGTAACTAATCCATAGATGTTTGTATATATATATATAATATGTATGATGCATGTGATCTTAATTGTATTATGATTGTTGATTTATCTAACTATCGGTAGATCCATCAATCTTTCTATCTGCATACATCGCAAGAATTTGAAAGTGTATGATGCTTGTTCCTATATGGTATTGTAATATTTGATCTGCCTTAGTAAACATTAAAATATGTATATATATAGTGTTTGTAGATATTGTCATTGTATTGTTTTGTTTTCATGTGCATGTAATTGGGGATACATAAATGGTACATTTTTGGTGATTATTAGTATTTATTTAAAAATTGTCGGTGTGAGATTGACAATTTCGGTATGCTATTAACTAACATGTACGAAGCTTGATAATTTATATCATTTTCCTTATAGTTGTTGATATGTATATATATGAATCAAATTCCTTAAATACAACAGGTAAGTGAAATTACATCATGCTGATAAGCTTCTTCGTTATCTCGTGTTGTTTTCATACTTATTTATTGTTGATATTTGTAGCGATTATTGACGTATGACTGGTAAAAGTTTACCTAATTACTCATATTAGTCTATAAAGAATCATGCTTACATCTTATATAGTCGATTAAAATTTTGTAAATTCTAATTTTCAATGGAATACTTATCTACTATGTTTAAAAAAAAATGCCAACAGAAGCATGACTATAATTCAATTGAACGGATATGTTTGTAATATAATTACACATAAACACATATTATGCAATAATTGATCCAGTATATTTAAAAAATGGGCATTTACCAACTGAAGCTTTAATTTGCAATTGATTTATAAAATTGTTTGTTTACTTGTTGAATTTCACACAAGCTATTCAAGACTTATCTGCGTTAGAACGTCCTCAATGTTGAAGTGATAAACTAGAGGTAAGACAACTAGTTAATTCCACCCACCGTCAAATCGTGGGATACTATAATGGAATGATGGAATTTGACAGTCACTGTTATAACGTAACCGCAGCTCTAAAATACAAAGCACAATTTTTCGGGGGCTGTAACGGGGAGCGTTCAGTTCACTATATAAAATAAAAGCTTATTAACTACGATTTGCCCCCAGTGGCACAGCGGTATGTCTGCGGACTTACAACGCTAGAATCCGAGTTTCGATACCCGTGGTGCGCAGAGCACAGATAGCCCCTTATGTAGCTTTGTACTTAATTACAAACAAACAAAACTACGATTTCGATAATTAAAATTTAAAAGAAAGGTTTTAAAATTTCTATAATCCATTAAAATTATATCAAACAAAATAATGTTACATCTATGTTTTATTGTATATTTTATGCAGTTATTTATCGTTATCTTTATCGTTATTCTTTTCTATGTACTTTTTCCCTTTCACCAACATCTGAAACTCCGATTTCAAAAATTAATCATTATCACTCAGTATATTACTCAAGACTTGTAGTTATTCTTGAGCAACGGGCAAATACAAAAGTCTTCTTCTGCAAATTCCTAGTTTTTTATTATTTACAGAAAGTCCCTTTATTCTATAATTAAAATCTTAGTGCTCCATACACAAAGTGCGAGTCATACGATAAAAATAATTTTCTGTAAAAGTGAAATACAGAGGTTGAATACGTTATTTTGCAAACTACTTTGGAGCCTCACCACATCGTTACAATCCATTTCACTATGTCTGGTCATGCTCTATTTGACTACCGTGCAGCATGACAATAGCCGGCTGAGCACTTTCCATGCATGAAGGCTACGTTGCAAAACTGTTATATCGAAATCATGCAACTTCTCACAACAGGCTTTCCATAATACATCTATTGTGAGAGGACGACAGTTTTCCAGCACCGGTTTCAACAAACCAATCACACAGAATTCCATATACACTTTATCCAGCGACTTGACTCGTATTACCTCAAGTAAATAGCATGAATACTCTTTTTATTTTCCAGCTAATTAAGGTATGCAACGGTTGAACAGTTATGTCTTGGAAGCAGCTGGGTGCTATTTCCTTGGATACATGGATGAATTTTGCACCGAACTATATATTCTTGGATTCTCATCTGTACTTTGCATTCCACTGCTGGAGCACGACTTGTTTCAGGTTTCTTTTTGGATGGACCTGGTGTCCTAAGTCGATCATTATTCCTTTGTCTTCCAATGCCATTAAGTACAAGATATGTTCTTATTTTGGTAATTCAAAATCCTCGATATGAACATATCTTTATTATCTAAGAATATTAATATCTTGCGTTGAAAAAGCGATCAGTTTTCTGTGACATCATTCTACTTAAAAACATTAAAAACATCAAACAATGTCGAAATGTAGTTCTGATAAAGGCCATTTCACCGTGAATTTCTGTCGGCTATGGTTGTCACGTAACTAGGTGGCTTGCATGTTTGAAATCGTTTTAATATAACGTATTCATCATTCTGTATATCTTAGGTGACAGATAAATCAACAATGAGAACAAAAACAAAATGTAAACATGTTATTCACTGTAACTCCTTTGCTCTAAATTGGAGCAGGTTAAAAGTTGTAATTGGCTTCTGTATTTTTACAATTCAGAAAAGTATAATTTATTAACATTTTATGTTTTCACTTTCCTCTTTCTTTAAATACATATCAAAATTGCGAAATGAAATCTACGCACCAAATTGCGTATATTAGAAAATCATTTTCTTTATTAGCTACTAAGCAAAGAGGCTGCTTTGCAACAAATTGGCTAAACCATTTCGTAGTACACAAGTTGGCTCTCCTAGGCTTGTCAAGTAGTTGTGCTGATCACTATGAATGCTTGAGTCTTCAGTTTAAGAGACTCTCAGCGTTTTGGGTTCAATATTTGACTCACTGCTTAGAGAACCAGAACAAATGTCACCAAGGTAAGTACCAGGTTACAAGCACTAAAGATGATGTTCAGGCTTGCAGTGAACCAGATGTGAACATGTTGTTAAGTGCTCGAGCGATCACTGATCGGCATGCAGTGAGCCGGAAGTGAACACGTTGTTAAGGGGCTGAGCGATCACTGATCGGTTTGCAGTGAGCCGGAAGTGAGCATATTGTCAAGGGTCTGAGCCGATCATTTATCCCGTCAATTGGCGTGCAGTGAACCGGATGTGAACATGTTGTTAAGTGCCCGAGAGATCATTGATCGGATCGCAGTGAGCCGGAAGTGAGCATATTTTAAGGGACTGAACCGATCATGATCGCACTGATCAGCTCAGATACTTGACAAGTGTCCTGTGGTAAAGCTATGGATTTCAAAGCTGGCTAGCGGGGTTCAAATCTGTGCGATACTACAAAAAACCATCACCACTTTAAGTTGGTAATGATGCTATAACAGTTAGAATAACAATGAATCTCTTGATGTGGATGTTATGTGGTAGGTTACAGCTTCCCCTCTGGTCAGTTGTTAAAAATTATGGACGACGGTATCTAGCTCTAATAGCTTGGCCTAAATACAAACATTTCATAAGATAAAACAAAATATTGTTTAAAATGTAGTAAGATATCTGACAGGTTTGAATAATAGCTTCAGTAAAAATTAAAATGTTTATACCTTGAGCTAACCATCGGTTCAGGCATGGCCTGCATGTACATCCATATAAGCACTTTTTTTTATTGTCATATTCACATTACATCTTGGTTATACGCACTCACGTAAAAAGAGATAATTATATGTTTTAATAATCAAACGTTTTATGTTTTATTTTTTATTGTGGGAGGTGAGAGTAGGATAATTTGAAAACTCAAACGTAGTTCATGTGTAAAAAAAAACAAAAACAAATACTGTTAGTTCAGTCGATATTCGGATTGAATAAGTACATTATCTTCTTTTTTTTAATTTACAATTTTTACCATCAAATCTCTACATACAAAGCAAGGATAAATAGTCAAGTTAATAATATTAATTCTATTCAAAAGCATGTTATCGAATCGTATTAATTAATGTAATTTTTCGGAAGTTTAAGCTTCAAACAGTCGAAAGTGCAGGTAAAGTGTGGTAGACTGACTTTAGATATAATTCGACACTGACGTCATACTTATTAAAATCTTCCAACTGTAGTTTATCTTTAATATGTATACTATTTATATTATATTTGATGTATATATACCAGAATTAATACAGCAATACAGTTTTACGCAATATTAAAGGTAGTGTCCTTCCCTGCTTACAAAAATGCCATGCGTAGCCCAATCACAGAGGCACATTTTTCTTTACATGTCCGACTAGATTCATGGTTCGTGTTCAATTATCGCAAAAAACACGCTCCACAGAGTTACAGTGAAATACAATTATACCGTCAGATAAGAGTATTCCAAGAGATAGTGATAGGTGCGGTTGACTAGCTGTCTTCCCTCTCGTCTAGCGTTTCAAAATTAGGGAACCTATGTGCTGACTGTTTTTTGTGGTACTTTGCGCCAAAAAATTATAAAAACCAAGAAACAAACTTATCTGTGTCTAGATAAATAACATGACACAGAAGTTACAGCATGAAATCATTTTATAATAAAAAGAAATGAGATAAGAATACGAAACTGCAATTGAGTGGCTACAGCTACAAACAGTGTTAATAAAAATATATATAATCTAATAAATTAATTACACATCTGTATATGAATATTATTTTTTCGTTTTTGACAACATCTGAATATTGCCGTTGACAATGTACGCTAAGTATCTTTTTTCAGCATCTGGCTATTACATCAAAAATTTGTACAATGTTTTTAAAATTGCTATAACTTAACTTTTACGGACTGATTATGCTTTTACTGTACATGAATATTAAATTTTAAAAGACGTACACTTTTGTTTAAAAATAATGCCTGTAGGATCACGTTCCAGATTTAGAAATGTTTTTCATATTGCTATAAACATTTACACGTATTTTGCTTTATGTATAGATTACTGTTTTGATTAAGTAATCTTATTTTTACATTTTCGAAGGTTATTTACTATATATATATATATATACAGCGAAGAGAGAGAGAGAGAGATCCTGTTTCTAAAGATTTCCAGACGAGTGTTTTTCTTAGTATCCGTATTATATATATTTGTAGGATCTTATGTTTACGTTTTTATAGGATACACTAAATTTAATTTAAAATATCTGGATAATTAATTTTAATAATGGAGCATCTACACATTTCATATAAATATTACACGTTTTATGACATTTGAAATATCGTGAAGCTACTTTTCAAAGATTTAAACATGATTTAGCAAGTTTTAAACATGTCATGTTTTGGTATTTCAATAAATTTTGCAATATTTTCAGAGATTTATTTTTAGAAAATTTACATATCATTTAACATCATTTGCAAATTACGTTCTTTTACTTACAATATTGAAATACTTCTTCCTTAAATATTAATACTCTTTTTACAATAGTAACAAATTATTTTCCTAAATAATTGCATGTATTTTCACAATGACTGCATACTTCTTTTTAAAAATCTGTAAATATATTTTAAAAAAATCTGGAAATAGTTTTATAAAGATTTATTTAAGGGATTACAAACTAGTGGATTACATGACTCACTGATGTTAACAATATATAAAGTAGAAATTTGTTTCCTAAGTGTAAGATAGTAATTCATTTTACTTATTATCACAACAAATATATAATGTAATACTGAGTTTTTTGCAGGGCTTTTTCTGGATGTTTAAAAGTCACTGGGTTTTAATATATACTTTTTTCAGATCCTTCCAAGGTATTGAAATAGTTAATTCGAATATAAAGTAAACTATTCCATAAACGCGACTATTCCACAGAATACTTGATTATCAAATTTCATTTGGTTTCAAACTATATATAAAGCTAATAATGTAAACTTGTTCATGGTTATCCGACGATTGGTATTTTATAACTTCCAAAACACGTTTTGTTTTAAATATATCGCAAACGCAGTAAAAATCATTTTAAAAGATTTTGCTTTATCACACATAGAAGTTTCTCTGATCCAACGTACTCTGTAAAACTCTCGCTTTGACTTGAAATGATTTGAAGGAAATTCGGTTTAGCTGTTTATATTATCCAAATTTGATCTTAGAATATATACAATGAGTTTAAGAATAGCTTTATAACTAAAATAACTATGCTTACCTTTTGCTTACCTTTACGTAAATTATTCTCAAGATCACTAGCTGCCAATCTTTTAAACAGAACATTGTTACATACAGATTGAATATTTTTTTAGAGAGGTCTATAATTAGTATTATTTCAGCTGTAATAACCGTATTTTATGTATAAACAGTTGTGTTATTCTTCACACACTGGCTGGTAGCTTTATTAGGATCTCCTTTTAATATCAAATTGGACAACATTACACCACCATACTAGTCTGGATTCAGAATAACATATATGCCACAAGAATCTGGAAGACGTATAAAGATTGCAATTATATCACAGACTTCGACAGAGGATTACAATAGCGAATGTAGCGTAAAGTTTCATTAAAAAAAAATATTTAGTCAAGCTGTGCTGGATAAGTAAGATGATTGTTGCCAATTTCATGCACGTCATTGAATTTCGGACAATATGGGTGCGATTGATTATTCAATTACCGTCTTGGAAAACTCCTTGTCTATTAGGATTGATGTACAACGAGTGGGTTGAACCCTGTTGGTAAATTCAAGATTTTATTCACCCTTCTAAATGAATCAAAATGTCCAAACTCTTCCTTGAGAACGTACCACACACCGTTGCATCATCTCCAATACATCGTGTTGTTGGAACAATAAAATTCTGGTCAAATGTTTTAATCTTTTAACTCCACCATCGCTACAGAAGAAGGCGAGTCATGACACACTTGTTATACTATACAGTCTGTATTTTGTACTTCATTCACCACTGAAGCTTCTCTTACCTATTAGAGTCTAGGATAAGCGTTTTTCAGACTGGCTGCTTACTTATATGTGAGAGCTTCCGATTAGACTTTACATACACTTGGAGAAAGATGAATGTGATCGTTGTTGACGGAATATGTCGATTGTGAGATATTTTTACGTTTGTTGCACAGCATAAGCCCGTCCAATCTACTTCTTTCCGTGACGTTTAACCGTCTATTGGTCCCCACAGTACTGTCTAATGTTAAAAATAATTCATTTCAATTGCCACTGCTGAGATACTCCGATAGTATATGTTTTTATTCAGGCGATCAAATAAGCGATCTTTTATAGCAATGGTTCTATTATAAGAACAACCATTATCATGCTTCAGTGAAAATTTGAGATAATGCAACAACCTATTATCCTGCAGATCATAATATTATCTCACCTCTCCATTTATGGAACTGAAGTAATCACTTGACACATCGCATGATAAATTTGTTTTGCATGAACAAAGAAAGGTGGTGTTTTACCTATGTGTGTGTGTAAGGGTTTAATTAAAGTGGCCAGTTAATGTAATTGTTAATGAAAGGTTTTTAACCTTGATCAATTGGCAGTAAATCAATTATATAAATTAAAAGCTTATTTTTAGTCTTTTTTTTCCTCTCCTTTAAATAGGAAATTACAAAAAATCCAGGGCTACTCTTACGTCAACAGCTTCGTCTACGTTATCAAGTAGAAAGTGGTTTGAGTACAGAAAGAATCAAACAAGCAGGTACAAGGCAAGTTTGGACAATGAACAGAAAAATATTGAAAGCCAGAACTTAGCAACTTTCAGTAGTACTGTGTGTTTGTCGAAAGGAGGAAACTCGACAGGAGGAAATGACAGCTTGAGAAGTGAATTCTTAAAGAGCACCTTGAAAAATAAATTGGAAAACAGAGTGTGATAATAGGTAAACACATTGACGAAAGATTCAAGGGTATGCTTTTATTATTTGCTGTAAATTTAAGGTGTAAAGTATTTATAGTACATATATAATATAAATGTTGGTGCCTAAAATGTACCAGGAACTGAACATGTAATCAGTAAACAGTTAAGCAAATATATGTAGTGCTGGACGATTCTTTAATGATTTTCAAACCTAAGAAAGAAAAACGAATACGTACATTCATAATGATGTATGTAACTTAAGATGATTTATATACTATTTACAGGAAAGCTGTAATCCAACAAAAATATATTATGTATAAAATAAAATGAAGTATTAAATTATCTGTACGTGAATATAAATATACTTAATACTTAAAGAAACACATAAGAATAGAATAATGGTTTGTTTGAAAAGTTGCCATATGTGTGTGTATGAATATATAAGTCTGAACTTGTACTAGCATAAATGTAATACATCTCAGTGTACTTTTAAATACCTTTACTACTTTCATATGAATATGAAAGTAGTAAGACCAATCAAAACACAAGAAATGACTTTACTCAGAAAAAGTTCTGCAGAATGTTACGACAATTGTAAAATAGTTTGGGCTCAACAATAACTCAAAATTTATATAAGTTATATAAATTGTTAACATTTAAAAATTGTAAAGTAAGGAACGAGAAAAATATTGTACCAGGTAACAAAAACAAATGTGTTTAATGTCTTCAAATAGATATTTTGAATTTGGATACTTCATTGTTGGACTGATAGGGCGGGATTTATTTAAGATGAAAGGTTATTCTGATCGTAATGGTAAATGTGTAATTTATGTTTTAAAATATTATATTTACTGAGAATTGCCTTTCACGGAATGTTATGAAGTTAGATGTAAGGAACATCAGTTAAAGTTGAAAGAGATGAGAAAGCGTTCGACTATTGATCAATCTCTCAAGTATTAGATGATTACAACACTAATTTATTAGAAAATAATTGGAGTGGGAGTATGACTTTCTTGTTCAACTAGTGTGAAGTTTACGCGACCCCCTATTATTATAAAAGGTTGTAATCCGCTATAGTAGAAACATGCATGAAAGATCAGAAAAACGAAAGGTAACTGTTTGGCATGAGTTGGAAAAAAGTAACATAAAAAATGTGAAAATAAATGAATAAATCAAGAGAGGCAAAGAAAGAAAGTAATATGCTGCCAGTAAGAAACAAATCCCACTTCTAAATAGATGTGTTATTGATTATAGTAATAAACAACAATTTGTTATGTTTACACTAATATGAGTCAGTTCTTGATAAGATTAAGTTGATGGTCATAAAAAGGGAAAACAAAGTGTGAGTCTAGCTTGATAATAACAAAATGTTGTCAAAATGACCTATAACAAAGTAGTGTTAGAAGTGGGATTCATCAGTTCATTAGGAATCGAAACTGAACAACGAAAGAAGAATTTAAAGGTAGATCCACATCAAAAAAGAAGGAAAATTAACTGGATGAAGCAGTGAAGTTAGGATAATATTTTTTGTTGTTGCTGTTTTGTTCTTATCTTCCCTTTTTGTTTTTTGCAATGGTTTGGATAACTATTACTGGTTATAAATTGTGTGAGTCATTGTTCAAGTGCCTTCCAGTGGCACAACGGTATGTTTGCGGACTTACAACGCTATAAACCGAGTTTCGTTACTCGTGGTTGGCAGAGCACAGATAGTCCATTGTGTAGCTATGTGCTTAACTTCAAACAAACAAACCAACATTGTTTAAGACACTAGCATGGATGAGAATTGGAAGTCATTCGCAAAATGTCAATTGGTATATAAATGTAGAGAATTGGGTATAACAGGTAGCAGCAATTGGAAAAGAGATAAGATACACGAAGTTTTAATTGAAGTGAGAGTCACAGTAGATGATTTTTCTAGATGATTTTAACTTAGAGAAAATACAGGAACTATTCGCAAAGGTTATCATAGTAAGGACTTAGAACTTACTAAGTTAAAGTTAGAAACTAAATGTTTAAAATATGAAAATAAACTCTTGGAAGTAGAAGCTGAGAAACAAAATACGTCTAAAATAAATTTTGAAGATAGGCATAGGCACAGATAATTTGAATTTACGAGTGGTAGGCACGGTAATTCTGGTGATAGGGCTGGCATGCATGAAAGAAAAATCCATGTTCAGTTGTCTAAATTTTACGAAAGAAATTATGTATTTTTTCTGCTTTTGAAAAATAGCAGGAGCAGAGGAATGGCAGCCATAGAATATGATATTGAAACTAACTCGTGCATTACCTGGAAAAGTGTTAGTATCATACAATAAGATTCGGAACGTAAACAAATTAAAGTACCGTGTAGTGAAATCAGCTATTTTAGAGTCATACGAGTTCGGTCCTGACACTTAACGTAGAAAATTCAGTGTTAGAAAAAACACCAAATGATACATTTAAAGAGTATGGAATAAAACTGCTTGAGTTGCTAGTTAAATGAATTAAATGATGCAGCTGCACTACAGACGTTGACAAGATTGTAGATTGCATGTTTGAAGAGCAAATTTTGACAAAATTAGCAACACATATGGTAATATGGTTAAAATATATGAAGGCAGAAAATGCACCTGAGACAATGAAGTCAGTAGATAAATATGTAGTGACAAGAAAACATGGTGGATTGAAAGTAGGTATAAATGAAGTTATAGAACGACATAATAAAACAAATAAAACTGAATCAGGTGTCCTGAGAATTGTAAGATCAATCTTTTCAAAGAATGATTTTGTAAATAAGAAGAAAAATGACAAACCTCTGCCAAGATGTTTTATATATGACCAAGTTGGGCATATAGTTAAACTCTATAGGCAGAATAAGAAAACCACAGAAAGAAGGGAGAATGTAATGTGTTGCATTGAAGACAGGTAGAAAATTATAAATGAGTATTTAGAATATGTGATGATAAATAGGCAAGAAATAAATATTTGTAAGTGGAAAGCTCTGGTGAGAAAATATTTAGTAAAAGATAATCAACTGAAAGATGGTAATTAGGTTTAATTGGGTTTAGCACAAGAGCAGGATAGGCTTGGTACTGTAACACTAGATAAAATCATATTGAAATGTCGAGCTTTCGATGCTGAAATAGTCATAGGGATAGCAGATCCTGCTTGGTAACGAGATAGAATAGTTCGGGTTGTAAAATGAATCAATAGAAGTGGTGACACGTAGCCAAAATAGCTAGATAATGAACGTGATTATAGAAGGAATAAATTACCAAGTAAATACTACAAGTAATTATGAACTTTAACTACTGTTAGAATAGAGAATATAAATCGACTACAAATAATTAAATCACAGTTAGAAGATGAGAACTTGGATAAATGCCACAGTGAAGCCAAGGTTGAGTAACTGTAAGTAATTAAACTAAGGAGAAATTACTACTACTGACGGAAAGAAGTGTTGAGACGTAAATGTAATGGGAGTGATGCAATAAAAGGTATGGATCAAATAGTACTCCAAAAGTAAAGTACATAGACAATATTAGAGTTAGAGTATGATACAATGTCGGCTGGACATTTAGGCATAGCTAAATTGAAAGATAGGATCATTAAAATCTACTACTGTCCTGGTATGTTTGGAGATATAGAAAATTAGGTAAAAAGCTGCCCAACATGTCAACTGGCTAGTAAAAAGCCCAATGAATAATTTTCCAGTTATTAGTGAGTCATTTAGTCCCATTAGTACCGATATTATCGGACCAATTCCAGTAACAGAGCAGGGGAAGATAATGCTGACAGTGGTTAATTCTGTTACTAAACATGTAAAGGCCGTAGTACTAAATTCTACAGAAGCAGAGGAAATGGCCTGAAAGCTGATAGTGATATTCTAACGGGTCAGGTTTTCTGAAGAACTTTTATCAGATTTAAGTAGCAATTTTTAATCTAAAATAATCCAAGAACTATTTAAGGCGACAATGGTGAAAATAAAACACACTAATCCTTATAGACCACAAACAAACCAGATGTGTGAGAGCGCAAATAAGACAATTAAGGCCACGCTAAGAGTAATGGTACAGGAGAATCCTGTTGACTGGAATATGATATTGCCTTTCGTGATATTTGTATATAGATAAGTCCACCAAGCTATAACAGGACTTTGAACCTTTGAGTTAATATATGATAGAGATAGTAAAAATATATTCGTCTAGAGACAAAGCCGAGACACGAAATGTATAAATGTATCTGACCAATTTGGTGTAAATGTTAGCAAAGGAGCACAAGTTAGTACCTAAAACTAATCAGGAGAGCGAGAATAAACAAATGTTTCGCTATGATAATAATATTAGACAACAGGAGCTTAAGATAAACCAGTTAGTTCCAGTACTGGACTCACTACACAAAAATAATGTAGCGGCAAGGTCGATAGGTCTTATCCTTATAATTAAGTGTGTCGTAAAGTGACGTATGAGGTAAATGTAGGGGATGGAGAAGTAATGGGACGAACATATCGTGTAAATATGCTTAAGCCATGATACACTAAAGTCGCTCCTGAAACTTGTGTGATGACCATGCTCTAATTAAAATTGACATACACACACACATATATATATATGCTGGAATATCGGAACCTGTGATAACATCGCAATTAGGCAGGAATAGCTGAGATTGTTGAATGTATTCAGGAAAACGTAGGAAATGGGTGTTATGAAGTTAAGTGTAAAGAACATCGACTGAAATTGAGAGAAGTGGGAAAGAGGCCGGCTTTTGACCAGTCTCGAAGCGATTAGGGAATTACACCACTCGAAGTCCTATAAAATTGTGATTGGAGAGAAGAGATACTTTTCTTGTTCAGCTAGTGTGAAAATTATGGGACCCCTATGATTATGAAACGTTGTAATTTGATATAAGAAAAACAAGTGCAAAGTCAAAACCAAAAGAGATTTGTCTGGTGTGGATTTGAAAAAGGTTTGTTTGTTTTTAAGTTTCGCGCAAAGCTACACGAGGGCTATCTGCGCTAGCCGTCCCTAATTTAGGAGT